TTAATTTTGTTAGCTATCTTGAGAATGCTAATGCAAAGGCAGGATTTTGAAAACATGAATAAATCAGATGGCTTGCTCTGTTCCTATATAATTCTACACCATCAAACAAGCATTCTACATTTGCAAAGAAATGAGTGATGCGATTTGCCAAATTGGTAATAGTTTACCCAAAACACCCTGAAACCATTACTGGTTCTAATGTAGAAGTGTAGGGACACTGGTCTCCTGTTTGATTTAATGACCAAACTCAGTTATTTTTTTCAATGAATAACTTTTGGAAAACCTCTAAGCAAACACTTCATAATATATAAGGAAGGCTGACACCACTCCTCATCTCAGAAAGATGGATACTGGCAGATGATGCAGAGAAGGCTAAATAACTTGGTGCTTCTTTGGCACTATTATTTACAAGATAATATTTCAAATGCAGAAATTGCATTTGAAAATTCATGATACTGGAATGTTTCCAGGAAAATGGATAATAGTAAATATGGTGTTGTAGCAGAAATGGAGTGTGTATGTATAACTACAACCCAGTCCAATTCTCTGACAAGAGTCAAACCTAATAAAAAGTGCTTGTTGTTTATGTAAAAGTTTGTTTAAAAGAGTTTTACAAAAGACTCCTCCCATAATTTAGAGGCTGATAGTTAACATGCAACTTTAAACCTCCTTTCTCCATGATTCTTCCCCCCATCCTCACTTTCCAGTCAATGACATGCTAAATTCTGCATCTTACATATTAAATCATTTTAGGACAGTTTGATGTTGTTTGGTTTTCTGTGCTTTAGGATTCCACTTCACTCTCAACTCACAGCACATCAGAAGGGGAAAAATATTGGGACATCCAAGGAAATACTAGATCACAGGATCCTGATGCAATATGACCTGTGTTTCTCAGCCAGATCCCTCTACTATTACCTACAGTAGGAAGTGAAAGCTGCCTCTCCCAGGGATCACACAACTTGCTGATCTTTAGTCCCCCCTCCCCCAAATAGCATACTTCTATAGCATGAACCTTACAGGTGATTTCAGAGAAGAGGCCAGGCCAAAATGGTTGCTGAATAGTGGAACAGCTTCATTGCACAAAGAACAGTCTAAACCGCAGCTTGACTTGCACAGTGCCACCTATAGCTGAAGTAGCAGCATAATGGTTAACTCTACATCATGGAACCCAAGCAACCTACTGGCATGAGGGAGACTACAAGAATCCTTGAGACTGGCAAGTGCACACACTCTTGACCCCCAGGAGCCAAGTTTTATGAAATTTTATTAAGAAGGAAGGTAAGAAGGCAAGTGCACAAAGCAGGTTTAAAGTGACAGGAGTGCTGTAGATCTATCTATGCTGGCCTCGAAAGTTGAAAACAGGTTCTCAGTCGACTGATGAGTAACAGAATGTAGATGCTTAGCTCTTGAGGGATGATGAACCAAGATGGTGGTGGCACAGACCACTTTTAAGGATTCTATTCCCCATATTGGATTGACAACTGCTGTTGAGTGACCAACTGGAACCCACACCTGGCTGGGACTTGGGAAAGATGTTAGATACCATCTGGGGTAGAGGAAAGTGCTGGTGAAAATTCTCACCCAGATCTTTCCATCTCCCTGCTAATCTATAACTTGTGGACTTGGAGACATTGCAGATATTACATGTTTGGCTCGCTCAGTTTTAATGGAGGGAAGGACTTGCCTTGCTTAGGATTAACAGAGAGCAGAAGACCAGTGCTTTTTCATCCGATGATACCCATTAACTTTATAAAGGTCCATATGGCAGCAGTTTGAGCATCATACAGTTATGCTTGCCCCACTTCTCTGAGACGTGAGAAGTTCCAGGAACTCTGCTTTTACCTAGACAACTTTTCAAAGGTCACCGGAAATTGTTGATATTTCCCATATTTGGCTTTATTTTCAAATATACAGATTGAACATAGGGAAATGCGCAGCTTAAATGTCCACTGCTCCCACATCAATATCCTGGGAAAGACAGCAAGCACCCCAAAATTCTGTTCAGCCTCTGACTCAAACTGCAGTCTTTCCAGGCAGACAGGCTCAGGTTATAAAAGCCCCAGCTGAGCGAACTGAAGAGAAAGGCATGTCCTCTTTCAGGAATGTCCTAACAATTAGTTCCTATGGAGATGCATTTCCTGCAATTTGTGTAAAAAGCATACTACTAGGCCATTTTACCAGGTTTCCAGCAGTAGTTTTCTGAGAGGATCCATTAGCCCAGTCCAGTACAAACCTGCAGTACACAAGAGCCTCATTAGAACAGTGTATGGACAGTGATTATAAAGCAAAGGAAGGGAGGTCAAAGAGATGGATAAATTGGCAAGAGGCAAGAGGCTCAGGTATGAAATAATTCTTTAAATGTGTGTACACAGAATATCTGAAGCTTCTTAACCTCCACACTGAATATCAAGGGAAATCAACAATTGGCAGCAACCTTTCTGCTGTTTAACCAAATTGAATGAAATATGCAGGCACATACAGTAGATTGAAACCTATCAAGTTTCAGACAAATAGATGCAGGGGTTTTTAATGTAAGCAAGCTTTACATTTTGAGGTGTGTTTTTTTTTTAGGCTTGCCTATAACCTTTTGAATTTTTCAGCAGAATTCGAAGAAATTTGGAATGGGGTGGGAGAAGGGGTTAGATATTTGTTCCTGCTCAGTTGATGCTAGCCAACCATTTCCTTCTACATTGCATTACTGAAAGCAGAGGGGAAAAGGAGTGTCCAGGTAAAATGATCCCTTGGTTGGAAGCAGAGCTGTCAACCATAAAATTATACCTTTCTCCCTCCTACTCTTTGGTGCTTTCCTTACATAGAGAGCTTGCAGGAAAATCTATCAATTTTCACACATTTGCTGCCTGTGTCTCTGTGCCCTTCCAAATCTCTGAATTGGTCTCAAATGGGTTTCTGAACAGCCCAATTTGGCTTGGATGATTCCTGAATCTCCTGAATCTTTCTGAGGCAGCTTGCTTCAGTTCTAGACTGAATGCACACCTCTGGCACATATCACACGCAGAGGCCATTGAAAAGAGGCATTATACTATTGGCTCATGTTCAGGTAATTCCTATATCCTCTTTCACCTTCTGCTTCTGTGCCAGCATTTAGCCATTTAGTGATGGCATTTATGCCATGCTCTGCAAAGATCAGCTGCAGAGCAGAGCGGATGAGCTGCTCCCTGCAGTCTATGTCCATATGTTCTTCTTGTCTCCTCAATCTCCCCCCACGTTTTTGCATTTGACCCCTTCTTGTTGTAACACTGTAGAATCTAAGAGGAGCTATGGTAGGCCAGTCCAGATGTTGATCTGGTCTAGTAAGTTGTTTTATATTGTTTTTAGTATTGTGTTAATGTGTAACACATCCTGGGACCTGAGGGAGAGGAGCAGCAATCAATCATCATCATCATAGTATTCAGTTTCCAGCTGAATACTGGTAGGGTAAGAAAATAGCAATGCTACCCACATTCATGTTTAAGCATATGGTATTTTGAAATATACCTTATACTGTATTCAAATGTATTCTGCCTTTATTTTGTTGTTATTAGCCAATATATCAATTTTATTTTTTTGTGCCATTTCGATTTAGATTTGTTTTAAAAATCTGTGCTCCGAAGCACTTTGCAGTGCCACTCAATTCTGTCTCATTGCTGTTGTGTGTCTTACCTAGTCCTTAATTAGGATGAGGCAGAACACCAGAACCTGAGTGGAGCAGAGAGTTCAAGAAGTGCCACAGAGAAAACAAAGCAGATACTTTCCTCCCAGATATCATTCACTCTGTGCATCATAGGTGGTTCTTTTCAGCCAATTAGAGCAGCGAGAAACCAGTGTGGATTACAGCTTCCTATATGTATGAGCTGTAGGCATTCAGTGTTCAGAATTACACTTGGTTGAAAAAGTATGGCTCAGGTAGCCGCTGACAGTCCAGTATCTGTTGTTGGCACCTGCTTGCCTAATTTCCATATAGTTACCCCCCCCCTTGGGCCTTGCACGTCAAAATACGTTTCGATAGGCTTAAACGTAAATTTACTTGATGGCACTATTTGTTAGTTTTAACAAATCCCTTGAGATGTCCTGTGCATTCCTGCAAAGCTCTGCATCGCAAACTTCTTCCTGATCCCAGCGTAAGGCTGTTTCTATTTTCAGAAGGTCTCCTTCCTGAGTCTGTTTGGCTGGCTAGAAGCAAGTGCTCAGAACAGAGCATCCTTTCTGTATCCCAAACTCCTTTCTTCCTTCCCAGCTAGACAAGAAAACAAATACTGAGAGCAGCACGTGCGCAAGCGTCGGGTGCTGCTGCTGGATCTGCCTTTACGCTCGGCTGCCCAGCTCGGACGTGCGCCCCCCGCCGTGTTTGGATGATACCTTTATTTGCAAAGGCGAAGAGGCAGATCCAGCCTTCCCACCCCCACCCCCTCTCCGATCTGAAACGGACATGTCTTTAGCCACCCGCTTTCCTCGCCTCCTCATTGTTGCACGCGCGTTACGTTGTTGCCAACAAAGGCGATGTGGCAAAACCACACACAAGGGGGACAAATGATCATAGCAGCGAGGAAGGAAAAGCCCGTCTTGCGATGTGTCACACATCCATGAGGGGATGCTTCTGCCTGGCTTTTGCATAACCCTGATTTGCCTGCCTCTTTTTCTCCTCCTTTTCTGAAGGAGGAAGCGCTGGAGAACCGGGGGGCGCCGAGCGGGAGGGGAAGAAGACGAAGAGCCGAGAGCGAGCGAGGGAGGGGGGCGGCCGGGGGCTCCCGCTGCCCTTCTCCCACAGAACGACCTTCCCCGCGGAAGGAGCTGCTGTGGGTGCGCGGTGCCAAGAAGGGGCCGCGAGAAACCGAGGGGGTGGAGGCCCCTCACAAAAGGAGACCCCTCTGCCTGCGCGCTCCGTCAGCCTCGGCTCTCCTTCTCGCCCCCCCCCCCAGCCCTGCCGAGCGGCTCCGACTTCCTCGGCGAGCGGGTCGAAACCGCGAGGCTTCGCTGCAGGGGGGTGGGGGGGTGGGAGGCGAAGCGGGAAGACCGCGGCGACACCAGCCGGCGTCTTCCACAGCAGCAGCAGCAGCGACCCCGCGCGCGCCTCACATCGCCACCAGCAGCCCAGCCACCCTCTCTCCCCCCCCCCCGCTCGGTCGCGCGCCCGCCGGTCGCGCGCGTGCGCGAGCCCCAGGCTGAGTCCTTTCTCTCTCCGTGTCTCCCTCTCCTGCTTCTCTCTCTCTCTCTTTCTCCGAGCCTCCTCCATCCAGCACCGGCGCCGAGGATGGGCAGCGAGAGCGCGCGCAGGAGCAGCCCCGGCTCGGCCGCTCCCCCCTGCGCCCGCTCTTGCTCGTGCTGCTCCTCTTGCCCCGCTGCCCCCAGGGCGGCGCCTCGGCTGCGCTCCCGCCTTTTCCCACCGAGGACGGGTGAGTGAAGGAGTGGCTCCTCCCTCGGAGCACCTGCTCTAGCCGGCGAAAGGGGTGGCGGCGGGGGGCGGGCAAGGGGGGCGTTTTGGCGCGCTCTCGGTCTTCGGGGCAAGTGGCGGGCGGCTGCCTGAGGGGGACAAGTCAGTCAGTCAGTCAGCGGCATTCCTGCCCCGCAGGGAAAGGGAGCAGGCTCGCCTTTGGGCAGCCCCTCATAGCTGAGGAGACCGTCTGAGGGAAGGAGAGCGAGAAAGGGAGCCTGTTCTTGGGACGAGGATAGAAACAACAGCTTCCCAATCTCCTCGGGTCCAGCGCCCCAGAACCCTCCAGCGTGGTTTTTGAGTAGCACGTGTCCCTCTTGGCCTCTGGGGTCACTGGGCACCCAGGAGGCATTTCCCTTCTTCCTCTCGCTCATCCTTTTTTTACCCCTTTTGAGTCCTCAGCGCAACCGAAGAGACCTTTCTCTGAGAGCTGCTCCTTTCAGAGCAGCTATTAACTTTTCCTGATTTTTTGGGTGGTTGTTTCGAAAGAGAGAAGTGGGTGAAGAGGAGCTGTGGAGGTTTTCCCCCTCGACAGTCCCTTCGTGCCCTTGCAGGCTTCTCTCCTTTCCCTCCTCCTCCTCCTCCTGCTCCTTGCCGTACAATGAAGTCTTTAAAAGAGATTCCTGCTTGCCCGCTAGCTGGCTGGGCTCGCGCCAGGAGTTCTCCACGGGAGCGCTGGACCATTCCTCGCGACTGAGCAAAGAATGCCATCTATGCAGAAGAAGAGGGCACCCTGCACACCTGGCTCCCCAGGGCTGCGGTGATGTGATTGGGGGCCATAGGTAAGCCGTTAGGATGCTCTCAGGGCGAAGGCAGGAAGGAGACGCCAAGAATGAATGGCCAAAGCACCCCACCCCTCTTCTTAGGTCTCCTTCCAGATGGGAGGATGGGGATGTTGCATTACTGAAATGCCTTTTTCCTCTTCCCCCTCCCTTTATATCGCTGTAGGCTGTGTAGTATTTTCAGACTATTTTCAGTATTTCAGTAGTGCTCTGTGGAAGGGTTGTTATGACAGCAGTTCTCTCTCCACTCACCCCCCCCCCCAACACCCCATCATTACTTTATAGACAGCATCGCTGGCTACACTAGAAACATAGGTTTTTGCGCCTGTTGCTGAAGTAACTCTGCAATCTTGTAATCTTTGAAATATGAGCATACACACACACCTGAGTCAGTGTTTATTGTAATAATGGTTCTGCTGAACTGAAGAAATTGGAGCATGTAGTAGCAATCCTACTATAATTCCTATTTGGGTTTTCGGTTTTCAGTGCATGTGTGTCTGTCAAATATGACAAAGGGACTTTTCTTCGTTTATACTGCAGCAGCATATATTTTGGATTATAGGACGGAATGCTTTAAAAGCACACACACACCACATTCACACACACAGTAAGTTTCACAGGCACAGTGAAATGTCTTTTTGAATACTGGTATCTACCTAGAAACCAAGGTTGTAGCACTTGATTTGTGAACCTGCGCTTGATTTGTGAACCTGCGCTTGATTTGTGAGCATTGACAGTAACTTTTGAGAGCTCCTGGATTGCTGAAAACTAGCTAATAGTTGAAACGTTGTTGGTAGTTCAAAACTATCAGTTCCATGGGTTTTTATGGCAATGAGTCAGTCTGTCATTACTAGTAATGGTTATGTCATGGAGGGTTTGCTTTTCTATCACCATATTAAGCTGTAGCTCAAAAGCTATTGCTCTGATTTCTCTTCCCCCAAAAAATATTTTCAGAAAAAATATAGCATTTGTATATATATGCATACAATGGTGTCACATGTGAAAAAAGAGAGAAGTGGTTCCTTGTTCTCTCTTTTTTCACACGCGACACCATTGTATGCATATATATACAAATGCTACATTTGTGGTTCCTTGTTTCATCTTAACCTTCACCTTCCCCCACCCTTTTAAGGTAAGCATTATTTCATTAGCCACATGTGGAGGGTTGTAACTTAAACCTGGAATTCTACCTCCCCCTCGTTTTAAAGGCTTTTGCATTTGTACCACTTCAGCCTAGACCTATGAGAAGTTTACCTCCATATATTTAGAAACCTTTGTTCTATGGAGAATAGGAAAGGACTACAGTACAATAAAATAACTAGAGGAAGAAATAAAATGGAAAATGCAACACAGTGCCTTTGTTTGCAAAAATAAAATAAAATAAGTGTCTACTATGTTCATCATAATATAGGGAATGAAAAATTAAGTAGAATAATTGCTATGTACTAGTAATAAAGGGAATAAAATAAGAAATAATTGCATCTATAGACAAAGAAGAATTCTGCAGACTTGCCTTAGTACAAACACTGGTTAGATAAAGTAATTTATTAAGAAATTGGAATTAATTGGAACATTTGTTATTGGATTGTACATTACATTAAAGCAAATATCAGCTGGATCTTTTATCCCTTAAACTGAACCAACATCATGAACAGGCACCATGATCCATGTAGCAGCACTTGCTTCAGATACCTTACAGTTTGACATACGCCTGTTGCTGCTGGTTCAATAAAACTCTGATGACGGTGCTTAGGAAAACTCCAGGCACTGAACCCAATCTAGAGATCCTCTGTGTGTGACAGGTGGCTGCATGGCTGCATGCCTGCATGCTGTTGTGCATGAGGACTCTCCATTTGCACCCACCATACAGGTAGTTAGCTCCATTGGAGTGAGACTAAGGCAGGACTAGGGGAAACAATTTTAATTCATTGGTCCCACTTCTTCAAGCAAATGCCAGCCAACCTACTGTTAAGAGATTAACATACGCAGGCTTAATTCTGCAAAGATCACTGATATGACGAAACAGCCTTGGATGCTGAATAGAAAGGTTTAGCCCCCATCCCCAAGCACATTTTAGGTATATGAGATGCACTCATTATGGTGACCTGCACCCGGATTGGTTTTGCCAAATCAGCATGAAATTCTAGTATGCCATCTACACCTGGGGAATATCTGCACCAGAATAATCACTGACGGGTTGAAGGTGAATTTTAGCATAGACTGAGTTTAGGATAATACTTCAACACAGGTATATGGAAGATGCTTGGGGCTTATTGACTTTTAAGAAGGATTGGGCTGGCAATTCGTACTTCTGTGTGTGTTCTTTATTTATATATCTTGGATTTTGATTTATTAAAACAAAATGTCAAAGTTCAACAGTATATGCTTATCTCGCTTTGTCTTTGTAACATCTCTGTCAAGGTAAGAAGTTAAGTCGTCCAAGGCCAATGGCTGAGCATTATGGCTGAGTGGATGGCTGAAGTAGTGGGGGGGTGTTCAATCATCTCACTGGTTTATAAATGTGTATGACTAAATTGGTTAATTTTACCTGCAAGGGGGTGAGGAGGAAGAAATATGCTGGATAAAAGAGATTTCCACTCCTAATGCTCTTAAATGATAGTTTTATATATCTGAAATATATGAATTATATTATTTCATGAAATAATATTTTAAGTACAGGGGGTTATATAGCAAAATGTATATTTAAAATAATACTATGAGAATTTACTGTGTTTTAAAAAAACTAGAATGCAGCTGAGTCCAGATGTTGATTTGGGGGGTGCGTTTTGGAAAATGCTACTGAATTCTAATCTGTGATTCTGTGTTAATCATATGCAATCAGTTGGTTGGAACAACTGAAGAAGATATTATATTGGAAACATTATTGAAAACATTAAAATGGTGTGATACAGGTAAAGATATAAACTTCATTAGAGAACAGTGGCTGAAATTCTTCACTGAAAAAGAGGCAATGGAAAGAAAAAGTCCTTTCGAGGTTCCAAGGGCATGAAAAGTATTAATGTGATAACCAGAACAGACAACAATAAAGAATATAATGAAAATAACAATACTGTAATACTATATAATATTTGGAACTTTCAAGTATTTAAGGGTCTTCTCAGGTTTTGTTTCAGCAAGCCTTATCTCCAGAATGATTGCAGTTAATACAAATTCTTGTTAAAGATTACATGAATTTTCACAAATTATTTGGCTGTGGGTTTTTTCCGCCTTTCTGTGTTTTTTCTCTCTGTACCCAGAGAGGATAACAACAAAGTTTTCTTTAAAACATGCATATATATTTTTCTACTTAAATCATAAACCTTAAACGTTTATATCACATTAATCATCTCTTTCAGAATAACCAATTTCAAATCACTTGGGATTTAATAGAATGGGTGACAGCCAACATTGTGCCCAATACAATTGGATTTTTCCTTCCTCTCTTGCTCCCTGCAGTGCCCCTGCACACTCCCCAAATCTGCTTGGGTGTGTTTGTGGGACCCCCTGAAACACATATGGGAGGGCACATGAGGGATTACAAGGAGGGGAAAGTGTAGGGGAAGTCATGTTGCACAAACAGAAATTAATTGCACAATCAGGTGGACATCACTTACTTATAATGGAGCTAGTTTGAGGTTTTGTGGCCAATGATGTCCCTGTATATGCAAAGTGCATATATCCCCTGTTTGAGAGGCATTGATTCAACCTGTTAAATAAGGGAGACTTTGTAAGCTAAGACACTGAATCCCCCATGTTTCAGGACAGAATTTATGGGATATGGCAGTGGTGTCCAAACTTTTTTCAAAGAGGGCCACATTTGATGAAGTGAAGGTAGGATTGACGTTGCTGAACTTTTTTTAGGATTTTACCCCAGGAAATAAACTACCACAGAGGCCGGATTAAACCGACCAGCAGGCCAGATTAAGCCCCCGAAATGGACTTTGGACATGCCTGGGATATGGAGACCCTCCATGGTCATGTGTTAAAAGTGCTTGGGAGTTCCATCTCTTTTCTTTGGGTGCTTAAGGAAGAAATGCAGATATAATGCTCTGGGGCATGGTCTCCCCTTCCCTGCTCAGTTCATTATCCCAAGCTTACAAATGTACCCTACATTTTCCATAAAGGTTGTTGTTGTTTAGTCGTTTAGTCATGTCCGACTCTTCGTGACCCCATGGACCAG